AGGAATCAAAATGGATTCACTCCAAATCAAATTCCCAATATCATTATRTACGAATTCATAGACAATTGGAWAWCAAGCTCATACTACCAAACARYTTAYGAATATGGCMTACWTAACTCATCCTAACTAACTCAAACTATCTATACCTACAATCCATCAATTCACAAAATTACAAGACAAACACAACACAAATTCATAGAAACCAAGACAAATCGATCCAAATCAGATACTCCAATCAATATACTCCCATTTCGATAATTTAGTAGAAAGTCGACTGAGATGTACCCGATCTGCGATGGACATAATGACGTAGCTGCAAGAAAACGGCAACAGATCTGCTCGGAATGTAGCTGCAATCCGCCCCACAATGCGGAGCTTCTGGAATGTGACGGCGTCGTATACTCTCCGGTGGCGACGGCAACGGCGACGTATATGGATGATGTTCTCCGTTCCTCCTCCTCCGACGGATTGATGGATTGATTTTGGTTCGGGATTGATTTTGTCAGGATTTTATTTTTCTTCAAGCTTTTAAACAAAAATCAAAAAACATATATAAACAAAAGAAATCTTCTGATTGGTTGTTGAATACTGCATTTTTATTTGCTCTGAGAATATAGTTTTTAATATGTTTTTAATCCTTTTAAATTAAAACGAAGGGCAAAACCGGCAACACATTAAAATGCGGGTAAAGAAAATAGAGAAGGCTAAATTCAGTCCCACCTAGAAAGGCATACGAGCAAATGATCCATCTGCAAACTTCATCTAAATTAAGTCGTCGTCATCATGGCTAAGGAGTTCGTGGGTTCTGATACGTTGCCGTTTTAAGATATTATGTTATCCCCATCTTTTGTTGTCAATTTTTTTATTTTATAATAATTTATACASACTTCGGACAACACAATCATAATTAATACATACGACTTGGAGGTCTATCGAGGTTTTTTTTTGGTAAACGAGGTATATCGATTTTCCTAAAAACTCATATAGATATCGAAATCAAGAAGTTGAACGCACATGTTGATCATTGTATTTGCAAGGTTACCAAACCAACTTACCAAAGAGGAAAAACACCAATAAATATTGACCAACATTTGTATCCATTAAAGATGAATTCATTATTTCTATTTTCAAAAAATCAAAACTGATGTAGAAACTAAAATTATGTAACTCTCTCTGTTTCAATATATTTGATGTTTAACATAAATTCACACAATTTAAGAAACTCAATAAATTG